GATGAAATAGGCTTTGCAGAAAGAGGGACATTTCTGAGATACTGAATTCAATTCAAATCAATGCTATTGAGTGTGAACTTGGAGGTAAACACAAATTATATTCAGTTTGTAAAATAGTGACTTTTCCACCTGATTTGCTTGTAAGTATTTCACGTTTTAAGTAATATAAATATATCATGGAAAACACTTCAGACATACATTTTTCAGTCTTAGGCATGCAAAACCTGTTTTCATCTCCAGTTTTTATTTTTTAAGATGACCTTCAGAACTCTGAATGACAATACTGAAAAATTCATTTGGGAGCACGTCCTCTCCTGGAGCCTGAGCCTTTTAGTGTGTGGTGTCTGAATGCAACATGGTGCTCTCAACTACAGGGCATCAGGGACAGGCCTTCCTGAGCTGCTAAGGTTTCTTTACCGTGAGTGCAGGGGCTTTCTGGTGACTGGGAGTGCCTAGTGCCTCCTGGGCCAGGGTTTGGTAGGAAGACTTCTGCGGATCCTGAATTCGTGCTAGGCACAGATGCTGCAGAGGAGCCCTCCCGAGTGTCCATGTAGCACTGACACTGTGGGGCACAAGAAGGAGGTTTCCTCTCTTGATTTTTCTTTTTCTCTGTTCTTTTTTGGGGCGTGTCTAAGAACTTTCAGTTAATTGCTCGCAGGGAGACTTCAAGTGGCCCTCCTGCTTCAGGCCTCCCTCCTGGACTGAGGTGAAGGGCTGGCGTCTGTCCTTCACATTTGGAGAATGGGGAGTTCCCAGTCACACACTGCCATGGGGCCCATCTTCTGCACCCCATCCTTTTCTGCCATTGATTTGTTCTAATTGTGCCCCATTGAACTTACAACCCCAGGAAAATGCCTATAGGTTGTCAAGGGCAGATTCCAACCAGTGCATATTTTTCATAGGGGAAACCTCTGGTCATTTTAGAGCATTGCTATTGATGCAACTATTTCATATTACTTGATTATACATTGTTTTATTCTGTAAACTTACATTAACTAATTTTAAAAGCGGGGCTGAGAGCCAGCAGGTTGTTAAGGTGCTGGCCGACATGGCCAACCACAGTTTGAGTCCTGAAACCAGAGGCTTGAAAACCATGCTGGGTGCATGTGTGTGTGTGCCCAAAATCCTAGGAGAAGGGAGAAGGGATTGTGGCATGGCCATTTCCCCTTGGGGTGATTTCTCACTTTCCCTCCTTCAGTCTGTGTCTCTGGTGAGTGCATGTGCCCTATGGCAAAAATCTAAAAAAAAATAAAGAAACAGGGCCGAAACTTCTAACATATCCCTTAACCCCACTGTCTAGAATTCTAATGTGTAGTAACGATCAATGGAAAACATTCCTAATTCTTTCTTGTAAAGAGGCATCTTAACATTATTTTGAGAGGACACATCATGTCTTTAATAGACAGAATTTGGAGTGGAGAGAAATAGATTATGAAACAGCATTTACAACTTTTATTTATTTATTTTTTTAAGCTTACCCATTTATTTCTTCCATGAAGTGATAGCTTCCAAAACAGGGTCTCACCCGAGGTCCACCTGCCAGGTCAGCCAGGCCTAGGGCATGAGCACGTTCAGCACATTCAGGGAGGTCTCCAGGCAGAACCCAGCACCTCCCCAGGTGGGTTAGCCTCTGACTGTCACGTTGGCTGCTCCACTATTTGGCCCTTTGGGCAAATACTGACCTCTCTGCACTTGGTCTTCCCAAGTATCAGAGAGTATTAATGATACACTAAGAACATCCCACGATGAGATGCAGTCCTATGTAAAGCATTACAGACAGAGCTGGCACATAGGCAGCGCTTAGTGGGTGGTGGTATTACATTTCCACTCATCCGTTCCATTTATTTTCTTTATGGATGACCATCAGCTTTGCCCTTGCCATGAGCGTCTCTCTAGCAGTGACAAAGCAGGCCAGTTATTTGCGGGTTATCTGAACACGGTGACTTCTGCTCCGGGTCCCTCTGAGCCCTTCGGCACTGGTTAGCGTTGTTGTTTGTGGTCTCTTATTATACTTTGTTTGCTTCTCCCCATGGCATTTATATTCTTTCTTGTGTAGGTATTAATTGAAAAGGACTGGATATCCTTTGGTCATAAGTTTAATCACAGGTAAGACATATTTCTAATTCTGTTGTGCTGAATGTATAAAATAAAGAGCACCATTTCTGAAACTTCCCATTGAGTGTCAAGGGGAAACAGCCTTCTTTCCTAAAGGCTTCTTACTTTGTGTATCTTTTTAAGAAAGTTCAAATTTTGTTGTATTACACGTAAATGATGCTGTTACTCCTGGTTCCCTGTTGGAGTTAGTTGGGCAGAAATAACTAATGTCCAGTCGCTCCAGAAGAGAGAGAGAATGTTTTTGTTCATTAGTTGACCCAGAAGGGACCGCCCCCCCCCCCTTCCCGCACACACGTTTGGTCGATGACATTCCACTTCAGAAGGACAAACATTCGCTTTAGGCTGCAAGTCGTGAAAGGCCTATGGAAGTTTCTCTTGGATCTTCCCCAGTGGGGATGGAACTGGGCTGGTCCTCAGGCTTGTGTGTTCCAGGGAAGTCTGTCCCTGGTATTTCTGGTGAAATCATACAGGACAGTGGCCCGAGCTTTACCCAGACACACCCAGTCCAGATCCAGACTGAGTACTGTCACTGTTGGACCTCGGGCATCTGTCCTCTCTGGCCCTTGGTCCTCCACCTGTGCAATGGCCATGGCCTGCCTCTGTGAGGTTATAGGAAGAATGTCTTAAAGTGTGTGTAACTGGGGTCAGCCAGTGGCATAGTGGTTAAGGTAATGGACTCCAACACAGCTGACCACGGTTCAAGTCCTGGACCTGGAAGGATGCATGTACGTGCTTGCCCAAAATCCCAAGAGGAGAATAGAGAAGGGATTGCAGTGTGGCCATTCGCCCTTGAGTGTGGGATTTCTCATTTTCCCTCTCTGTCTCTCTGCAGCAAGTGCACATGCGCCATGGTAAAAACCTAAAAATAAAAAATAAAAAAGCATGTAACTACTCTAGCTCCAGGCCTGGCGTAGATAATTGGGTCTGAATAAATAGAGCCATTGTTTGTAAAGCCATCGGCTTCCTTTTGTTAGTGTTGATGGCAGTGACTGCCCTGGCTTCCGAAGTTCTCTAATCTCGGAATCCTTTTTTTTTGTTTTTAATTGCCAGAAGGCATGTACACTCACCAGAGAGGGACAGAAAAGGAAGGAGAAAGGATCCCCAGTGGGGTGAGGTCATGCCCCAGTCCCTTCTCCATTTCTCCCTCCTCTCAGGAATGGGGGCCTGCGTGCACACACTCTCAGTGTATTTTCAAGCCGCCGAGGCCAGGATTCAGATCTCCCAGTCAGCCCCATGGAGCCCAGGTCCCTTAACACGAGGCTAAAGGGCTGGCCCTAATCTCTGCAGCTTCAGTGTTGCCCTTGTACTTAGTCTGGTGTTTTGGTGCTACAACTTAATGTAGGCAGCATACTAATAAATTCAGGAGATATTTCAAATGAACTGTTTCAGTCTGTTCTCCTAAAATAAATTCTGAGTTCAAGCAGTTGCTCATATAGATTTTTGTAGTTTTTGCCATTAGCATTAACTGGTCATTAATTCTGTGGTTTTTCTGGAATTCTATTTCCATATTATTCCAGGAAAGTACAATAATCCCATATTATACATGAAAAATTAAAGTCCCCAAGCAAGTAAGTGAACTTTGTGAGTTGCTATTACTTTCCGTTTGGGCTACTCCTGAGTGTCCTCGGCCGTAGGCTCTCTAAGATAGATGACAGATGGCAGAAAGAATATGGGATGGCTGGAGGCCAGCTGGATGACTGTGTAGTGAGGAAAGATTGTCTTAGGTGATTCTTTTCAGGGCATCCCGAAGTGATGGGATGCAGCTTCTGAGAAGCTGCGACGATTTCTAACACTTTCACTCTTAGGCTGATCGTTGCTCATTTCTGTCCTTTGAGCTGATGATTGTCCATAGCTGAGGTGAGATTTTGTATTGTTATTTTGTCTGATAGCATCCAAAGCAACCCTTTTGGATTATTTCTAAAAATTACCTACTCATATAAAGCACTGGGCAGTTTCCATTTAAAATTCAATACAGCTGTCGGGGGGCCAGCAGGTGGTGTGGTAGTTAAAGACACTGGATTCCCACATGGCTCGCTATATAGTTCAAGTCTCAGACCTGGTAGCTTGCTTTCTCACTTTCTCTCTCTCTCTCTGGTCAAATTTAAAAACAAATAATAATAAATAAAGATAAATAAAATAATTCTTTAAACAAAAACAGTACAACTGTGAGGGAGAAGTTCTGACATGTTCTTGGAAAACAAAGATCAGAGAGCTAGAGAGGTACAAGTGGATTTGGTGTTCCCAAATGAAAGTTGATGACAAGTTTCAGCTCTGCCCTAGAAACAGGAAAGCTCTTTTTTTTTTTTTTCTAGTTGTATTTCTTCTTCCTCCCTTCCCAACAAAACAAGGGAAAGCCTTAAAGCTTAAAGCTGTTTAGAACTTTTCATTCTCCCACTCATCACTATTTAAAGGGGAAGATTTCAAGTTCTCAATGCTCTTTAGCTATGGAAAGCTCCCTGGAAGATTCTCTCTATCATAAGCACTCTATTTTGGAACTATAACACGAACACTTCCCTTCTCTTGCTAGACCTTTACTACAAAGTTTCTCTTGAAATTGCAATTTAAAAAAAAAATATTTAACTTTATTTATTTACTTATCTATTTTTAATTTGACCAGAGAGAGAAAGTGAAAAAGCAAGCCAGCAGGTCCAGCACTCGAACTGCAGTCAGTCTTGTGGGAGTCCAGTGCTCTTAACCACTGCCCCACCTGCTGACCCCAAAATTGGAATTAAAAAATAATTATTTATTTAATTTTATATCATTATTATTTAATTTGCTGTAGGGCGCATGAGCTCGCCAGAGACAGAGAATGAGAGAAAGTAATAAAGTAAGCCACCAGGCCTGGGACTTGAACTGTGGTCATTCATGTGGGAGTCCAGCATCTTAACCACAACGCCACCTGCTGGCCCCTGAAACTGGAATTTTAAGTTATTTTTCAGGCCAGTGCTATGGCCTAAGTGGTGTAAAGGAGTTGGATCCCACATGGCTAACCACATGGTTTGAATCCTGATCCCAGTGACTTGAAAAACATGCTGGGGATGTGTGTATGTTCCCAAACCCCAATGGCAGACAGAAAGGACTGCAGTGTGACTGTGCCCCACCGGGGAGCGCTCTTCCTGTCTCTTTCTCTGATGAGCACACGAGCCTTCTGGCTTATAAACAACACTAACCACAAAAAATTACTTTCTACTTTTTCACATCCTGAGCCTCTAAGATTTACTTAGGAACTAGGGTTGCATGCATGATTGATTTTGCATTTAAAGCTCTCTAATTTTATTTTAATTGACTTGAAAGTCTCTTAACCCTTTGTTTTATAGATATGGCCATTTAGATGGTGACCCAAAAGAAATCTCTCCAGTCATCGATCAATTCATTGAGTGTGTCTGGCAGCTAATGGAACAATTTCCCTGTGCCTTTGAGTTCAATGAGAGGTTTTTGATTCACATTCAGCATCACATTTATTCCTGCCAATTTGGAAACTTCCTGTGTAACAGCCAGAAGGAGAGACGAGAACTCAAGTAAGTCTTTTGGAATTTCCCTTTTGTCTGAAGATGTTGGTGATGAAGAGTTTCCGGTGGCCTTTCATAATTTCTAGGACTCTTTTTTTTAACTTAGTTACATATCTATACTGACAGAATAAAGCTTTTTTTCTTTTTTTCTGACATCATTTCATAAATTACTTAAGTGGCATCAACTGACAGAGAGATACACAGGCTCATTTCCCCTGCTTAGTTTCTGCCTGATATTCACAGACAAGTTGACAGCCTTGAGACACTAATTTTTTTTTTTTTAAGAGGTTTTTGCCACAGGGCATGTGCACTCACTGAAGAAACAGAGAGAAAAAAAGTGAGAAATCACTCCTGGGGGAGATGGCCATGCAGCAATCCCTTTTCCTCCATTCTCCTCTTGGGAATTTAGGCACACATGCACACATGCCCAGAGTGAATTTCAAGCTACGAGGTCTGGAACTCAAACCGCAGTCAACCTGAGACACTATTTAAAGGAAAATTTCTGGAGTCAGATAAAGTGATTTTTGCATTTAAAAGGAAAAAAAAAGACATATTTGCTTTATATACTGTCATAATAAGGATTATAAATAAAACTGGAAAAGGCATGGTGGTTAAGGCATTGGGCTCCCACACGGTTGACCATGGTTTAAGTCCCAGACCTGGCAGCTTGAAACTCACACAAGGTACATGTGCATGCATGCCCCAAAATCCCAGGAAAAGAATGAAGGAGAAGAGATTGTGGCTTGGGACCAGCAGTTAGTGTAATGGCTATGTCGCTGAACTCCCATGTAGCTGAGCGCGGTTTGAGTCCTGGACCCCATGGCTTAAACTCACGCTGGGCGTGTGTGCATGCATGCCCAAGATCCCGAGAAGAATGGAGAAGGGATTGTGGCGTGGCCATCCCCCTTGGGGGTGATTTCTCGCTTTCTGTCTCTCTGTCTCGCTATGTCTTTCTGGCAAGCGCATGCGCCCTATAGCAAAAACCTCTCAAAAAAAAAAAAAAAAGATTGTGGCTTGTCCATCTCTCTGGAGCGGGGGTGGAGGTTATTTCTCACTTTCCCTCTCACTATCTGTCTCTCTGGCAAACACATGCATCCTATGGCATAAAAACCTAAAAACATAACAAAAATACTGTTGATTTACCCAGGGGTAAAAGTAGCTAATACATGGACTTTAAAATAAATCCTGAGACCAGCAGATAGTGTGGTGTGTTTAAGGTGCTGGACGCCCACATGGCTGACTACGGTTCCAGTCCTGGACCTGGCAGCTTGCTTTCTTGCTTTCTCTCTCTCACTGTCTCTCTCTAGTGAGCACACATGCACTATAACAAATTTTAAAAATAATAAACAAATAAATAACTATAAATCACAGTCAAAATCAAGACAACAAAGTGATTTAGGAAGTGCAAATAAGGACATTTTTGAAATGTTTATAGAATAAATGATTTTTTACTATGGATGTATAACATCATCCAATTTAATTTTGTAAATAATCAGTTCAAATAAAGCTAACTCTAGTAGGTTTATACTCTCTCAGTGGAACAGAATAAAATATCTTTCTAGTGAATGCTAGACTGTTTTCTCTGAGGAACTTCAACTGTGGTTCCTAATAAATGGAGGTGAATTTAAGTTTTGGTGGACCTGAATCTGCCCGGGTTTGAATCCTGCCTTTTCCACTCCCTGTCTGTAGGTCTTGAGGAAACTTCTTAATCTCTATTCCCGTTTCCTCCTCTGTAAAATGACATGTCATAGGAATTCAGAGAGGGGTCAATGAGAAAAAGACACGTGAAGCATTTAGGACAGTGCCTGGTAAATAAATGTTCAATGTCTGGGGAGGGGAGGCAAAAATTAGAGAGCAGGGTTTTTGTTTGTTTTTTAAACTCAGTGTAATTAAACATCTTGCCAAGCCCAGTCCAGCCTAGAGAGGAGTTAGGATCTCCCCCCAACACACACACCATTACCCTGCAGACCGTTCACTGCCCTGCTCTAGCACAGGTACGTAGTACTGAGGTAACATTTATCAGTTGCTTTCCTGCTTTACCATGACAATTGGACTGCCATTCTGCTTTTCTACTGTCAGACCTACTCCTGGGTCATCGGAAAAGTCATGGTGCATTTTTACCTGGAAAAACTGAAAAAATAGTCATGACTTCTGACGACCCAATTTATCATTTTACTATCTGTTAGAACCCAGATGCGTCATTTTTAGTGTGTGTGTTTTTTTTTTTTTTTTAATAACAGAATTCAAGAAAGAACATACTCTTTGTGGGCTCACCTGTGGAAGAATCGGGCCGACTACCTGAATCCTCTGTTTAGAGCGGATCACAGCCACATGCAAGGAACCTTTCACCTCCCTACAGCACCGTGCAACTTCATGTACAAGTACGTGAGCCGCGGGAGCTTTGCGGCTGTAACAGGAGCTGGGGTTCTAGCACTGTTTCGCACCTAGAGGCCAACGTGTATGAGACGCTGATATTGAAGGCCTTTTTAGGCACAGAACACACCAGAGCGATGTTGAATACCTTCTCATCTGGTATTTCTGCCATTGTGTCCTCTCCCTCTCCCTTTCCCCTAAATGTGAAATTCTCTTCAGAAGTTGATGTTGTATAGTAATGGTATCTTTAGAATGTAAATTCCAGTTACTTTTCTTAAAATGAAAGGAAGGGAGGAAGGACAGAGAGAAGCAGCTCAGTGCCCTCCAAGTGTAGAGTCACAAGTCTTGACGGTGGTCACCACGTAGCTCACCTTTTGTCTCTGCTGAATCAAGTCCTGATAGAAATACTTGCTTGGGGAAATAACTTACTTTCAGGTACGTACTTGACATGGCTGGTATACTTGACCCATCCACTTCTTCTCTAGGTGTGTATGTTATGGAAAAATGGCTCAGAGGTCAGAAGAGAAATAAACTTACACAGAAGAATCCGAAACCACGTTCCTCTCCCTGCCCCTCCAACACTCTTTCACTGGCTTTTTTTCCTGTATAGATTTCATTTCTCAACGTGTTTTTATCACAATTATTATAATCTAATTTCCCCCGGACTTAGAGAAAAAATGTTAATACTAAAAAAAACAAAAAACAAACAAACAAAAAAACACTACTCCATATTTCATGAAAAATAGCAGTTTTAAGAGCTATCGAGACACACTGCAGCTACATTTCAACTAGCTTTTTTAATTAACATGTAAGAAAGGTACATGTCTGTGGGGACACAGTGTGATTTGACAGTACAGGAATGGAATGTGTGATGATTTATTCAGGAGGATTAGCAAACCCATCATCTCACCCATTGGACATTACTTGTATTGCAAACAGCCAACAGATAATGAGGACCAAGCACTGTTTTAGGTACTTGGGCGAAAACCAGGCAGAGTGGGCCTGAGTGTACCTGGTCATAACACCATTTACCCTCACTTGTGTCCCAGTGTGCTTTATTGTGTAAGATCAAAGAGAGGAGTTACTGCAGATACACAATTTTTGGTGGTTTTGAGAAAAACAAAAGCTAAACACTTGAGGTTTAAAAGGCTTCTTCACTCAGCCAGGCCTGTGGCCTAGTGGTTAAGGAAGCTGGATCTCAAATGACCAACTGCCTGGCTTCAGAAACACACCAGGTGCATGTACACATGTACCCCAAATCCTAACAGGATGGAGAAGGGATTGCAGAGTGACCACAACACATTGGGGTGCTCTCTCCCTCCCTACAAGCACACACGGCCTTCAGCAAATTTAAAGGCCGAGAAAAAAGCTGCTTTGTAACAGAAAGATTCTAAATATACAGCCACAATATTTGAAGTGCAAAATTAAGAGCCATTTTCTTAAACTGAAAAGCAAACAGCACACACCACGCGTGCCATGTGCTGCTCCCGTCTGCTTTAGGTTGTCTGCTTCCTGTTCAGGGCCACCTACACGTAGGCTCTCCATGAACTCATTTCCCCCCCAGTTTACTGACCCAAGAGAGAAAACAGCAACTTAAAATTACCCTCTGAGTCATGGCTTTTTGAGCTTGAAACGTGGATCTGGTTATCACTAACACAGTAAGACTGTGGTTGTAAAGCGTGTGAGTTTTCAGACTGGTGTGTGGCTTGTCATACGGTGCTGCCTTCCTTCCCAGGTTTTGGAGTGGGATGTACAACCGCTTTGAGAAGGGGCTGCAGCCCCGACAGTCGGTCACAGACTACCTCATGGCCGTGAAGGAGGAGACACAGCAGCTGGAGGAAGAGCTGGAGGCCCTGGAAGAAGTAAGACCCACTTGCTATGAATAGTTAATCCATTTTCTGTGCTTATTTCTCTGTAAAAGCGTCTATAACTTCCCTTTGCTTGGCTACAGAGATTATAATATACTTAAATGCTTTTCTTTTCTTTTCTTTTCTTTCTTTGAGAGATTTTTGCTATAGAGTGCATGCACTCACCAGAGACAGCAAGAAATTACACCTTGGGGAGATGGCCATGCCATAATCCCATCTCCTCCATTCTCCCCTCTGGATCTTGAACATGCACCCAGTGTGAGTTTTAAGCCACCACGTCCGAGCCTTGAACCACGTTCAACTACATGGGAGTCTAGTACGCCATCTGCCTGTCCGCTTAAATGCTTTTCTAAGTGGGTAACTTTCTTTCCAAGTACACCACTCTAGTTCAGCGGATCACCACTCGGACACACTGCTTCATTCTGCGTCACCCATCTTCGTAACACCTCCCAGCATCATGCCATTCACTCGCTCAAGAATTGGCCACAGGCTCCTATTCTTTGGGACCCAACTTTTTGAACCTCAGTATTTTAAATAGGATGAAAGATTTCTTTTTTAAAAAAGACCTTTTAGAATAGAAAAAGACACTAGGGTGAAAGCTGGGAAATTATCAATAATTAAAGTTCTTCATTATACTCATAAAGCCTTAACATCACTGCAAGAGACCTACCAGTTTCCTATTTTCAGACCGCTAGTCTAAGTAAAGGTGGAAAGACTACTACAAATCGAATTCTGAGTCTTCTCTGCCCAAAGGACTGCTGGAAATGATGTCCTGGGATGTGCTTTATGGTTCAAGGTCCCAAAATAAAGGGCATATAAATGTAATGCGGGGAATGACTCCACTTTTTCCATGGTATTCTACAAACATCACCATTCAAGAAATAACTATTGCACAAGTTCTTAAGCGTCAAGTTGCAAACTCAGATTATACTGGAACCAGACAGATGAAACAGATTCACAAAGTTACACCACTGGTTTTAAGCACAAATCTTAGTGGTGTATAAATCTGCCAAAGTCAAATCAAACATCTTTGGGCCTAAGGGGAGTGTTCTCTGCCTTCTAGCGTTATGTTTCATTACCGAAGTAGTTTTTAACTGTTTCTCAAAATCACTACCTCACAAGAAATGCTGACAGCTGGGCTTCCAGCTCAGAGGTCCTGTTGGAGAGTCTTCAGAGTGCCATGGATGTGTACGGCCAGAGCTGGGACAGGGCTAAGGAGTGTACAGAGCATGATGTGAGCCAGGTGAGGTGAGCATTCTGGAGCCGGGGAGCAGCTCAGGCTTTTGCCATTCAAAGCCCTTTGTGTCACCACGGGGCCGGTTTTAAAGTAATTTAGAACATCTAGGGCCAGCGGTGGCATGGTGTTGGGGCGCTGGACTCCTCCATCACCGACCTCTGTTTGGGTCCTAGACCTGGTGGCTCGTTTTCCCACTTTCCTTCTTTCTTTGTCTCTTTCTGGTGAGCACACGCACCCTATAGCAAATTAAAATAATAATAGGGACCAGTAGATGGCATAGTGGTTGCATCACTGGACTCCCACATGGAAGACCACAGTTCGAGTCCTGGACCTGGCAGCTTAAAACTCAAAGCAGGCGCTTGTGCATGCATGCCCAAAATCCCAAAGGAAAATGGAGAAGGGGTTGCAGTGTGGCTGTCCCCCACCCCCTGGGGGGGTGATTTCTCGCTTTTTGTCTCTCTGTCTTGCTCTGTCTCTCCAATAAGTACACATTGTCCTACAGCAAAAATAACTCTAAAAATAATAATTCTTTTAAAAATTTAGATATCTAAAAGCACTTTTATATAAAAACTCGTTTCTTTACAACAAAGTCAGAATTCCTGAGTGTAGCATTTTAGTCTTCCATATCTAGTCTAAGCAACTGTGTTAATCCTCCATTATTCCCTCAATAAAATGGAAATGCTTGCACAGTCAGCATCTCCCTACCTGCTATTCCTCTGCTCTTCCTGCCAGGAATGCTCTCTTAGCAGCACCAGAACATCCTGGTTTTGTTCTTTCCCAGGGCTGGGGTGCTCCTTCCTCCCTGCAGCTTACTCTCTGTTCATGAAATGCAGGTGTTAGGGAGAAGCCAAAGCTATGTAAGAGGGACCCTCTCTGGGTGTTATGTGTCCTGCATGGCTGGCTGATCTGAATATATTCCTCACATTGCCCAGCACAGAGCTTGTAAACAGAACTTACATGAATTACTCTGTAATACTTCAAACACCCCCTTGCCAACATCAAAGGTACAGAGTATTTCTAGAACTCAAGGGTCCATGACCTGATGAACAGAGAAATAAAACATACCCATGTAACAGATTATTCAGCCCTAAAAAGGAACAAAGTAGGGCTGGCTCCATGGCCTGGTGGTTAAAACAGCTGGATTCCACATGACTACCTACGCAGTTCAAGCCCTGGACCTGGTGGCTTGAGAAACAGGCTAAGCCGTGTACGTGCATGCCGAGAATCCCCACAAAAAGGAGATGGAGAAGGGATGGTGGTGTGTCCCGTCCCTGTGTGTTCACTCCTCCCACTCTCTGGCAAGTGCATACACCCCCGGTGGGGGAATGAAGTACTGCTATAGACTGCTATACAGATGACCTGGAGAATGTAAGCTGTGACCACAGCCGCAACTAAAGGTCACGTACTGCATGATTCATGTATATGAACTGTCCGGATTGTGCGTAGCATATGGATAGTCAGTAAGTGGTTGCCAGGGACTGTGGGGAGGATCGGGAATGACTCCTAACAAGTGCAGGGTTTTTCTCAGACAGGTGATGCAATGTTTTCAAATTAGTGGTGATGTGTGCATGTGCATAACCGTGTGAATACACTAGAAACGACTGAACTATATACTTTAAGAGGGTAAATTTGGGACCAGCAGATGGCATAATGGTTATGTTGTTGCCCTCCCACATGGTTGACTGCAGTTTGAGTCCCAGACCCAGAGGCTTGAATCTCATGCCAGGGTTGTGTACATGCACGCTCGAAATCCTGAGAGTGAGGAGAAGGGATTGTGGCATGGCCATCCCCCAGGGGGTGATTTCTCACTTTGTGTGTCTCTCTCTTTGTCTCTCTGATGAGCACACACACCCTATAGCAAAACTCTTAAAAAAAAAAAAAAAAAGAAAAGTGAATTTTATGGTTAGTAAATTTTATCTCAATTTTAAAAACTAGATAATAACCACCCCATGTTCCTGATTTTTTAAAAAAATGTATTTTGACAGAGAATGAAAAGCATTATGTAAAACCATTTAGGTCTAGAAAGGAAAGAGGAAACGGAGGTATTTGCCTTTCATATCACAACACACACAGAAGGTAAGGAAGTCTCACCACCCTTACCTTGGAGACAAAGCAAACCTTGCAGAATTGATTTTGTCCAAGACCACAGAGTCCAGGTTTGAACCCACCTCCACCCAAATCCCATGTGCGTAACATTACACCCAGCTGGGGAGGTAAGACTATCGGAGGGTACTTTATATATAAAGAGGTAACTTATGGTTATTTTTTCCCTAAAATGGTAATCTTTTTCAGAGGCTGGAAAAAATTCAGAAAGTCCAGTTAAATGACACTAAGGTGAAGAGGAAGCAAAGCGAACCCAGCAAACACTCAGGGTTTTCTACCTCAGACAACAGCACCGCCAACACCCCCCAGGATTACAGCGGGAACATGAAATCCTTTCCGTCCAGGAGCCCTTCACAAGGTGATGAGGATTCTGCCCTGATTCTAACCCAGGACAATTTGAAGAGCTCTGATCCCGATCTGTCAGCCAACAGTGATCAAGAGTCCGGGGTGGAGGACTTGAGCTGTCGGTCTCCGAGTGGCGGGGAGCATGCCCCGAGTGAAGACAGCGGCAAGGACCGTGATTCTGACGAAGCCGTGTTTCTCACCGCCTGAACATTCTCTTTGGAGTTCCAAGCGAAGGGCACACGAGAAACACTTCCAAAGATAAGGGAACGGTGCAATTCAAAATAAAAGTAGCTCATGAAATGGTACGTGGCATCAGACTATACGACGCAGCCACAAGGGGGGATCTCAGCTTGTAGTTTCTTTATATGTGGAAGAACAGGGAGTCCCCATTTCTTTTATCAATATAAGCAAAGTTATTTACCATTCTGAGACTCATTTTAGACCATGAAAATAGTACTCCCTACAGAGCAGCTGCTCCACCCATAGATTTCTGTGGTCATAGCACATGGCCACCTGGAACCCCAGCTCCTTGCCCTCACCTGCTGCTCCGAGGACCTTCTCTCTTAACTTCACGTCCACGAGCAGACGTGCTTTCTCCAACCCCTGCTCACCGGGGCAGCCCTGAGGTCGCTCTCAGTGCTTCTGACAGCATGGCACGCTGCTGAGAGGCACCCTTTTGGTTGATGGATACGTTGCAGAGAAGGTGTGAGGAGCTTAGTGAATGCTTCAGCTTACCTTTCAGGTATAATCATCACTAACTTCTCTTCAGATGATATATTTTGAACTGCTGATAATTTGGTTGCCTTTATCTGGAATCTCTTCTTTTTCTCCTCATTTGCAAGATGGTAGAACCTATAGTGCATTTTTCCCTCTAACACGGGTCATACACCTAATAGAGGAGGAGCCACATTCATCCTCTAGGGCTTACATATGAATTCAGATCATACTAGCTTTTTAAAAAACAGCCTTTTATTATGGTTTCAGAGACTACTTTACCAGGACAGTGGGGCCAGCCACCGGCCTGATCCTGACGTCAGCACATCAGTGAGGGGAGAGTCCAGTCAGAACTAGAGGGTTGGTTTTCATTCTGTTTAATGAAGGGGATACGTTTTGCCATCTATCATTTTAGAAATCATGTGACTAATTAAGATGGATTAATTAACATTAGTAAAATCTGATGACCACTGACTACGGAAAGTTCTGAAAAGTTTTTGTTTGGTTAATGTGCATCTGCATTAACTGATGTTTTTTTAAAAGGTATTTTGACTGTGGAGGGTGAACATCGTTAGTAAAACCATTAGGTGTACAAAGGGAGGACGCTACTAACCACTGGTGTCTGCCTGCCGTACTGTCGCTTTCTCAAGCAGAGTCACTCCCCAGTCTTACGACAAAAATGGAACTTTCCTGGGAGACCTCAACTTTTTGATCTGAAGAAACCTAGTGGAAAAAGTTGGCTAGAAGCAGCTTCGGAGAGAGAAATAATGTTCACACTGTATGATTTTTTAAATATTACTGCATTCTAGAATGTAAAGGGATTAAATTTAATTTTCACAACTTACATCAGTACTTCGAATGTGTTAGATTTTTACAGGAGAAAGTATCAAACTGTGCTGAAATGGGAACAAGATAAAGAGAAGGGCAAACAGCACTACTGCAATCTCTGATGAAAGATTTGGAAGGAGCATAGCAATATATATATATATATAAATGAAATAATACAGTGTAATTGTGTTGTTCATCATGTCTAAACAGAATAAAATATTAGAGACCTGTAATATAAAATCACTGTAATATAAAACATAAAGCAAATGAGGTTCTTCTAGCATAGACATATACAGTCTTTACTGAGCACTCCCCATATTAAGCCAGGCATGTGAACTCACTTTCTGCAATACACCGTAATCCAATAGGGGCTATCTTGCTAATAATAAATACTTAGGATATAATGGTGACGGTGTCTACAGTTTTAGAATGTAACTCATATCATGCCACTCTTGTAGTCTCCCACTCTTGGAAAAGCTATTGCCTCATGTTTAAGGATGTGACTTTGATTTCTTCCATTTGGCAGTATATGTCAACAAAAAAACAGTCACTTAAAAAAAAAAAAATGACACAGTATCTATGCCAAGCAGGACTGTGCATTTATTTTGAAAAGCAAATAGTATACATGGTTGGTATTTTAAACTTTAACTTTTTAATGTGATGCCTTCCACATCGGAGCCATAAACTTTCTTCGGTCCCCTTCTTTTTACAGGACGTTTTAAGTATACGTTTGTTTAGTCTATTTATTGGCAGTTGCCCTAACACTGAGTTTATATAAAAGGTTACACGTCCTGCTTATTAAAACTTTCTTGTGAAGCCAGCTCTACGGCACGGAGATAATGCGCTGCTCTAGAGAAGCCGGACCCCACCTGGTGACTGTGGTTCGCATCCCTGCCTGATCAGCCTGCAACACACTGGGGACACGCACAGTGCCCAGGACCGGTCAGGCTGGAGGGCTGGAGGAAGGGGATGACCAGGCCCTGTGGAGGGGGCCCCTCTCCCATTCTCTCTCACACTGTCATTTAAAACAACAACAAACAACAACAGACTTTATTGTACTTTGTCAAAGCCTTGAAAGAACATGGCCAACATAAGACTAAAATCTAACACTACATTTTCATCTTTAAATCGAACAGCGATCAGGGAGCATTTTGTTTAGGGCAGTGGTTTAAGGCCTAGGGAATAAAATAGAAAGTGGACTCAGGTGTATTACTCCCTAACCAGTAATGTTCAGAGCTCAAGTGATTATTTAGTAATGTCCAGGTAAATTTGATATGAAGTAAGAACTTTTCATCATGACTCAGCAAATGGATCATTTTAAGTTTTTATAAAATAAAGGAAGTTGAGTAAATAAAAGGGGGATGCCCTGGAATAAATTTTTATTCTTTAAGAGCACATGACTAGTTTACTTCTCCTAAAAAGCATCTGAGCTTCCTCGAAGTGCTATAAATGACATTCTTGGACCAGCAGGTGGTGTAATGGTTACATTGCTGGACTCCCACATGGCTGACCATGGTCCAAGTCCTGGACCTGGAGGCTTGAAACTCACACCGGGTACTTGTGCATGTGTGCTCAAAATCCCGAGGGGAGAATGGAGAAGGGACTGTGGCATGGCCATCACGCCTGGGAGGTGATTTCTCATGTTCTGTCTCCAGCAAGCACAGGTGCCTTATAGCAAAAACCTCTCTTAAAATAAATGATTCAGACATACTTGTCAAACCACCTCTATTCCTACTCATTGAACAACCTCTATATAAATTCCTGCCTCAATTTTTTCCTAGAGATTTCTTCCAATTTTAAAATAGATATCTCTTAGATATCTTTGATTCAGAACTTTCTTCCATTTTGAGGTGATAGCCTTTAAATCTCTATGGCAAATCTGAATAGTCTGATAACTCCTGTGTTCCTGATTTTCTTCTAGTCTTCTATTATATATTAAAGTAAGATCAGAGTACCTAATTTAGCATGCATTTCTTTTTTTCCTGTGGCAGTGCTTTTCCAAAATAGCCATTTTTTTTTTTACAAAGAAAAAAAGCCATAAAATTGCAAAATCCAGTAACATACTCTTATAATAAAGAAGCCCAAATCACAAGCAGATTCAAATGCAGACTCCGTCCACCCTGGATAATACTTAGAACCTATATCTGAACTCCTTTCCCTGGGTCAATGTTGATAATTATAGCCGAACTTCTCCATTTAAGGACTGGTTTGTAAGGAGGTTATCCAATTATTTTGGAGGATAAAACAAGCTGTTAACTGGTAGGGAATGAAGCAGTCCAAGTTTAAAGAACAAAAAACTTTGAGATGAATTATGTGATTATGTAGAAGAGATTTTACTCATAAGAAAGTGATTTTTTTTTTTTTTTGGTAGAGAGGAAAGTAAATAAGCACCTAAACCATGTTTGAATAATGGTATCGTATTTCTTTGTATAATACTTCCACAATGCCTTATTCTTAGTAAGTACTTAATAAAATTAGTAGACCACAGGAATTAATGTTGGTTTAGAAGGGCTGTGGGCGGCTGGTCTTTTATCCTGCAGTACACCTGGATTCTGAGAATCCTCGATGTTTGCAGAAGCGTGGGGCTGTTTTACCTTCCACTGCGGCGACTGCTGAGAAATGAAGCTCAGACACCACGGCAGTGAGAACAGGTTCCTGAGAACCCAAGGGGCTCGTACAGATCTGAAACGCTTAGCTCTGTTATTTCATCGGTAAGTCAGGAGGAATAATCATACCTTCCTTATCTGGCCATTTTGAAGGTAAAACAACATGTGCTTAGTACAGTTGTGGGAAGACAGAAGGTTCATAAAAGTTATTTTCTGTATCCAACACTGTATCTTTATGGCCCATGTGAACACTTGTATTCCAAAATCAGACTAAACATTAGGTATGTTTCAGTTCTAAGAAAATAATTTTGTTTTTCCTAAAAACAAAAACCCTATTGCCAAAAACACATATAGTTAGAACAGAGAATGAAGAAGAGATCATCTGTACTGCTTGCTGGTGTTGGAATGACAGTCCTATTGGGGTGGAATTAAATAAAATGCATTGGGGGGCCAGCAGGTGGCATGGAAGGTAAGGTGCTGGATCCCACATGGCCATCTTTGTGGTTCAAGTCCTGGACCCAGCAGTTTGGGAACCATGCTGGATGCATGTGCACATGTGCCCAAAGTCCTAAGAGGAGAATGGAGAAGGGATTGTGGCGTGGCTGTCTGCCTTGAAAGGGGGTGAGTTCTCACTCTCTTTCTGTCTGTCTTTCTCTCTCTGTGTCTCTCTCTGTCTCTGGTGAGTAACACATACTATAGCAAAAACTAAAAAAAAAAAGTATTAGGTTGTTTTGTGATCCAAACCTTATCAAGGTTTGGATATGTAGTTAAAAGTTTTCTTCTCTATGAATTTTTAGGGCTACCCATGAAACGTGTTCAGTGTATGACATAGTATAGACGCAAACTAGTGAATATAGTATAATACTAGTTAAAGAGAAAATTCAATTAAATCCATTGAAAACTTGGATTGCCTAAACATTAAATATTAATTTTACTTATTACTGTAGCTTTTATTTTAGGTAAAGGTAGTTCACAGTAAAGGTCAGAAAAAAAAAATCACTGACTTTTTTGTGTCTAGATACACTATTTATTAAGAAAAACATTGATTTGAATTTTAACAGTAGAAATTTAGAAAGCACATTCTTACCAACCATCAATCCCATCAGATTATTTATTTTTTTAATTAGCATAAACGTTTGTGTTGGGCAGGTTTAAGTAAAAGGCAGTTTTTTCCAACTAGGTAAAATATTTACCTATATTGCTTCTTAAATGCATCTTTTGTTTTAAAAATAAAACGATCTATATGAGCAGCTGGCCTGCTCTCTGGATTTATTGTAGGTATTAAAAGTTACTTTCTTGCGATGGCACACTGGCAGGTTGGTATTTCCTGACACTATGAGTTTTTGAAAACAAATTGCTTTTGAACATTTTCTCAGGAAAGAAAGAAAAAAATAATTATCTTTCCACAGTTGAAAATAATTTCCCAGAAAGGTTAAGAGAAAAATAATCTAAATAATGCACCACTCCTGATAAAGAAATGAGGCAGCTTCAAATTAAAAATACAAATTTAAATGTAGTAGTTTATAAAATATTGAAAACTAGCTAAAATTACATGCATAAGCATTTAATCAATAGTAAGAGGAACAGCAGAACTTAAATATGATAGGGTTTATCCACAATAAATATTTTTAGTGCAAATAGTGCAGAAAAATTTCTCAAAGCAAGATCATAGAATGAGTCTAATTTGTACAAAATCAGTCTGAGTGCTGTATGTAATCCACATATTTATAAATTCAGCCACTGTGATGAAATGCCAATTTGCAAATCATAAGTATAAAATCATGTGCTTAGCTTGTGTTCCATTCCTCTCTTGGCAGTTCATTTTTTTTTCCCCAAGAAAATCTGGAAAGAAAATAAAAGTAAAACACAAATGCAAACAAAAAAACAATATAGGAATAAGGCAATAATTCTGGCGTGTTCATATAAATAAGCGATTACTCAGTGTCCACGTTCTCTTCTACGGGAAATCCAAACTTATCAAAAATCACCTCCTACTCAAGGAATTTACAGTATGATTTGGAAAATAAGATATAAAGCAAACAAATCCTGACACTGAAGTGCAAGGGGCAGATGTGTTTGAGCTGGAGATGAGAAGTGTTTGTCACTTCCTTCCCTGTAGCCACTCCCCCTCTCTATGGACTCTCTCTGCTTCCTTCACAAAGTCCACTCCTTCAGCCCACTCAGCTGGGCAAGGGACCACATGACACCAATGTCTAGGCCAAACTGATTAGGCTAAGATGCCTGTCTTGCCCATATTGGGCCAGTCTGGTTCCCGGGAATTTGAATTGGGACCCAAAGAGACTAACTCAAATTGTCTTCATTGGTTGCGTGCAGGGTCAGACGACAGGATCAAACTGGTGGGTAACAATGGATGAAAGATAAAATAAAATAATAAGAACAGAGACGTATAAATCAGCAAGCAGCCTCAGAATGGTTTTGAGAAAGAGGAGCTGTTTGGTTGAGTGGCTTCTAGTGTTTTCACTCTCAAATGACCAAGTGTACGTTCCTTCATTTTAGCTCAATCATGATAATATCCAATACATAAGTTTTTACTTAAGCCTGCTGGGGTGGAAACTGGTTCTTAGAGCCAGGTCATTCCTAAAACACAATAGATGGAGAGGAAAAGGATGATGTTTTGAGGCCAGGTAAGAGCATGAACAAGGTGGCAGTGGAAGGAAGAACAGGACATGCAAGACCACACTAGGGGAAATTTAAAAGGAACACCTGAAATACAGGCCGGGTTACAAAAAGCTTAAAACAGAACTCTGGCATTGATTCTTTCATGGGCTCATTAAAGGATCTGGAGCAGAGAAATGTTACCCCAGAAGTGCTATTTCAAGATCACTCTGCCAATGCTGCATAGGAAAGAGAACCTTAAAGTCAGGGGGATTGGTCAGAAGAGTATGGGTCTAAGATGGGAAAGGTAGACTAGAAGGTAATTTTAAAGGAAAAAATGTAAAAGGAGGAATACGTCAACCAAGTGAGGTGGTATACTCTACGCACTCACCCAGAGAACAGAACTATAACTTACCACTCTAAACAAGGAGCTATCAGGCGTGAAGAAACAGTTCAGTTAAGCCAAAATCATACAGAGAAAATACCCAAAAGATGTTTACGTGCTTATTTACACATTATACTTAATATGCATAAAAGCATTCTATGTCACAAGGCACAGTAGCCAGAAAGACAGAATTATGCTGACTGCAGCACAAACAGGTACCGTTCAGAGCACTTGGACGCAGGAAAAGTGAAGCGACGGCCTTGCGACTCACACCTGAACTGCGACGTACCTACAGTGGAGCATGGAACTGGCTGTGCATGGCTATCACCTGTTGAAGCTTCTCTTCCTTGGCTCTTCGACAGTGGCAAATCTAGAAGATAAATTATTTAAAATACCAGTTACTTCCTAAGTTATAGCAGAATTCTAAATAAATCTTCTAACCTGTTGATATTCAAATTTTGAATGTTTAAGTTAGCTAGTATTGCCTCAGAATTTAGTAACAAGTAATATTAGGTTGTTGGAAAACTCATGACACATTTTTAGATAGAAAAAATACATCATGACTTTTCTGACAACATAATAATCATTTAACTTTGATTGTAGGATAGCTTTTGCCTGCAAACTTCCAGGATGTAAAACAAACTCTGAACCTATCTTTTTAAATGGGATTATAAAATCTGCCCCACCTACCTTAAAGGATACATATATATGGCACATATATTTTTATATAGTTTACTAACAAAAGATGACACTTAACATGTTATTTCTGGAGCCAGCAGATGGCATAGCAGTTCTGTTACTGGATTCCCACATGGCCGACTACAGTTCAAGCCCTGGACCTACTGGGCTGAAAATCACGCTGGGCACATGTGCCTAAGATCCCAGAAGGACAGAGGAGGGATGCGTGGCCATCTCTTCTGCGGGTGTTATTTCTCACTGTCGTTCTCACTGGCTCTCTCTCTTCCTCTTGGGTAAGCACATGCCCCCGAAGGCAAAAACTTCTTAAAATAAATAAATAAATATAATGTGATATTTCAAAGAAATTAGGTAAATATTTAGGACTATAATAAAGACCAAGGAACCATTAAATAGATTTTCTGGTTTTCCTTCTGATACAATGGAAATATCAGTACAGACACTGTTCCAGAATGTCCTCAGTGTTTTTCAAATTTATTTCTTAACCTCTATCAATTATTTTAATTTTTTTTGAGAGGTTTTTGCTATAGGGCGCATGTGCTCGCCAGACAGACAGACAGAAAGCGAGAAATCACCCCCGGGGGGATAAGCATGCCGCAATCCCTTCTCCATTCTCCTCTCGGGATCTTGGGCATGCACGCACATGCGCCCGGCGTGAATTTTAAGCCACTGGGTCTGGGAGGCGAACCACGGTCGACTACGTGGGAGTCCAGTGACATAGCCATTACGCTAACTGCTGGTTCCCTTAACCTGTATCAATTATTAAACAACTTGTAAAAATGGGTTATTCAGGAGTATAACTATTGAGACTAGAGTGAAGCTGATTTCCTGGTTGCTACAGAAAGATACAGATATGCTCATTTCTGAAACTACTGTTTGATTTACCTTTTTGTATTCAAAACAGATTTATACTGATCCTACAATTTTCTTTGGTCATTTTTAAAAAATTTTTCTTTGGTCATTTTTTTAAAATTATTAATTTTTACATTTAATCACTGTGTATCATTTCAGTATAGCGTTTTTCCACCATGAATACACTGTATATTGGTCCAGTGAACATTATTACAGAGGCTCTTCAGATTCCTCTGACGGCACCTAAACTCAGCTTAGTACTCTGTGCTAAAGGCTTTTACTCATGAGTATACTGAAAAGTAAGCTGGTATCACACTGTCACTTGTCCCCCACTGAGGAGTATTACATACTGTTCTCTTTTCCATGAAGCTACTGAGGAAATCATCAATTTCAGTTTTTCCCTCCAAGAAATCTTCGGCAATATTATCAGATTCTTCTTCAGCTTCATGTGCAGCCACTTTCAGTCTTGCCTGGAGGGCACTTGCACTACAGCTCTGGAAAGAAAAGCATTGTATTTATGGAGCCCAGAACAATTCCTGAGGGGGAAAGAAAATGAGGAAGAGGTGGAAAGGTGACACATGGCTCCTGTAGTTTCCTTGCGGAAAAAATATCCCCCACCCAGTCTTCAGCATCTGAATACAGGGGTGGGGAGAGGAATACTTAACTCTATTAAATAAGAGAAGTTGGGCATCACTGTCTTCTCCTGGAGTTTTTTTGTTTGTTTTGAGAGGTTTTCGCTATAGGGCGCATGCTCTCGCCAGACAGAGAGAGACAGAGAGACAGAAAGCAGACACACACACACACACACACACACACACACACACACACACACACACCCCGGGATGGCCACACCGCAATCCCTTCTCCTCCATTCTCCTCTTGGGATATTGAGCACGCACGCACACACGCCCAGCGTGAGTTTTAAGCCACTGGGTTCGGGATGCGAACCACAGTCAACTACGTGGGAGTCCAGCGACATAGCCATTACGCCAACTGCTGGTCCCTCTCCTGGAGTTTTTGTAATTAAGTCACCATGGTCAGGCACCGGCTAAAATGAACCCCTATGATCTGCTCCTCCTGGTAACTCCTGCCCCCATGTAATCTCCTCCCTCTGAATGTGTTCTGGATCTAGTAACTAACTTCTAAGGAACAGGAGGTGGCCAAAGTAATAGAATTACATTTAACCAGAGCTGAAAGACCTGTTTACAGAAGACAGCAAAGTACTGCTGAACACTGCTAAATAAAGACTCTGTGGCATGGTGGTTAAGGTGGCTGGATCCCACATGGCTGACTATATGGTTTGAGACCTGGACCAAGCAGCTTGAAAAGCATGCCGGATGCATATACATGTGTGCCCCAAATTGCAAGAGGTGGAAAATGGATGAGAAGGGATTGCAGCATGACCATTCTCCTTGGGGGGATTAGTAAATAGAAAATGAGAAATAAAGATGTAAGTAAATAGAAAGATAGCCAGAAGATGTAGGAAGATCTAATTAAGATGATAATACTAAACAAAGTGGTCTATAGATTCAATGAAATCATCTCAATGTTATTTTTTTCTCTTCACTTTGCTCTAGGGTATGTGAGCTTCCCAGAGAGAGAGAGAGAGAGAGAGAGAGAGAGGGAGAGAGAAAAAGTGAGAAAGCACTGTCTAGGGGTTGGCCACACCACAATCCCCTATTTTTCTTTTGAGATTTTGGGTATATAGGCACATGTGCTCAACAGGTTTGTCAAGCCACCAGATCCAGGATTCAACTATGCCATTGGCCACGTGGGATCCAGTCGCCTTAAACACCATGCCACCCTCAATGACATTTATTTTTATAGAAATAGGAAAAAACATCCTAAAATACACAATGGAATCTCAAAAGACCCCAAATTGTAAACCAAACTTAAAAAAGTTGGCAGACTCATATTTCCTGATTTCAAATTTACTAAAAAACTATAGTAATGAAAACAGTATGGTACTGGCATAAAAACATATAGACCAGTGGAACAGAATAGAGCGCCCAGAAATAAACCTTCACATATATAGTCAAACGCCTTTTGACAAGAGTGCCAGGTCAAACGGGGACAGGACAATTGTTTCAACAAAGGGGCTAGAAGGACTAGACATCTGCATGCAAAACAATGAAGCTGGAACCTTACCTTATGTATAAAACTTAACTCAAAGTATACCAAAGAGACCTAAATGTAAGAATTGAGACTAAAAAAAAAAAATGCTTTAATTTGTTAGAGTGCATGTACACTCGTAGGAAAGAGACAGAAGAGAGCAAGTGAAAATTGCACTCTCGGGGGGATGGTCACAATGCAATCCTCCTTCACCTTTTTTGGGATTTTGGCATGCACACACACATGCTCAGTGTGTTTTTTCGAGCTGCCAGGTCTGGGGCTCAAACCACACAGTAGGCCATGTGGGATTCAGCTGCTTTAACCACTATGCCACTGCTGACCCAAAACTGAAAAACGGTTTAGGCAGGATCTTGCTGCTATAATCCTCCTGCCACAGCCTCTTGAGTAACTGGTACAGTTTTTAGAGTGGGCTAAGAATCAAACCCAGGTCTCCCAAGTGGCTCGGCCACAGGAGCTTCCAGCATGCACTAACCATGACCAAGGCCTGAAACTATTTTTGATAATAGCCATTTGCGGGTATAGGTGGCAGCTCTTTGTAATACATCACACACACACAAATGATTTTCTTGTCACTCCTGTCCAAACAGGTTATCTGTCTTTACAAGCTTGGCTCACGTGGATGTTTTATTTTCCTTTTAAAAAAATTAGAGTTGACAAGACCAGCAGATGGTGTAATGGGTACGTGGCTGCACTCCCATGTAGTCGACCATAGTTCAAGTCCTGGACCGGGCAGCTTAAAACTCACATGGGGGGCCTGTGCGTGTGTGCCCAAGATCCTGAGAGGAGAATGGAGAAGGGATTACAGGGTAGCCATTCCCCACTGGGGCAGGGGAGCAAATTCTCGCTTTCTGTCTCTTTGTCCCTCTCTGTCTCTCCAGCAAGTGCACATGCCCTATAGCAAAAATATCTCTTAAAAAAAAATTATAGGCCAGTTTTTATGGTTTTTACTGAAATAATTTCTATCTTTTTGTGCACTATCTGTGTGATATATTACAAAGAGTTACCACTTCCACACTCACAACAGCTATTATTAAAAATAGTTTTAGGTCTAGCTATGGAAAAGGATCTATCTAACCTTTTCCAACTGGACACTACTAAATGGATAGCAATTATATAATTTGTTAAATCAAGTTTTTCTCAAACAACCTACTCACATGAATCTATTTCTGACCTGCATAGTCTATTCCATAGAACTATTTTCTCTTTCTACAAAACTATTATACTGTTTTAAATCATGAAATTTTACAGTGTATTTTGATACTGGGAGTGAGTGAGAGGTCTTTTTCATGTTTTTTTTTTGTTTGTTTAATCTCTTACTTTTATATCTTTAGTCTCTTTTAGATGAACTTTAGAATAAATCTCTTAATTTAAAAAGTAATAATAACTCTTGGGAATTTAACAGGAATTTATTAAATTTACGTTATGTTGGGAAGAATAAAATCTCTCTTTTTTTTTTTTGGAGAGGTTTTACTATAGGGTGCGTGCGCTCGCCAGATAGACAGAGAGACATAGAGAGAGAAAGCGAGAAATCACCCCCCGGAGGGATGGTCACGCCACAATCCCTTCTCCTCCATTCTCCTCTCGGGATCTTGGGCACGCACGCACACGTGCCCAGTGTGAGTTTTTAGCCACCAGGTCCGGGATGCGAACCCCAGTCGACTATGTGGGAGTCCAGCGATATAGCCATTACGCTAACTGCTGGTTCCCGGGAAGAATAAAATCTTCACAGTACTGTCATTCATTCCATGAACATGCTATGGTGCTCTAAACAATCTTAAAAAAAGAAAACTCAAGTCTTTTATGTTATTCAGTAAAGTTTCCTAACTTACTTCATTCATTATTTTTTAAAGAATTATTTATTTAATTGTATTTATTATTATCCTAATTCTTTTTAAATTTGCTATAGAACATGTGCACTTACCAGGGGGGGGGGAGAAAAAGTGAAAAAGAAAGCCACCAGGTCCAAGAACCAAATTGTGATCGACTATATGGGAATTCAGCACCTCAACCACCATGCCACCCACTGGCCCCTATAAGGTCTACAGTATGATGGTTAGGGCACTGGACTCCCACATGGCTGACCACAGTTTGAGTCCTAGACCCAGCAGCTTGAAAATCATGCCAGGCACATGTGCGTGTGTGCCAAATCCCAGGAGGAAAATGGTTTGTGACTTGGTCACCCCCCCAGGGGATAATTTCTCAATTTCCCTCTCTATGTCTCTTTCCAGTAAGCACACATGCCTTATGGCAAAAACCTAAAAAAATTAAAATAAGGTATTTTAGTTTTGTTGCTATTGTAAATGAGTGCTTTTCTCAACTTCATTTTGCTGTCAATGGGATCCACCTCCCTCACTAGTCTACGGGCTGGCCCCCTATATTTTTCATAAAAAAACTGTTTTTCTCTTCTGTTATATTATGCTGCTGCTGTTTCTTTTTTAATCGTATTGCAATGATCAGATTTTTCTAAGCACCGTTAAATAGCAATGACAATGGAGCATTACTCTCTATAAGAACTAATGATCTGGAAATGGTTAGCCATTAAGTGTGATGTTTATGTTGGTTTCTATAATATTCTTTATTAAACCAGGAACTCATTTCTATTTTTAGTTTACTAAGGGTCTCTATAAGAAATGATGCTGGCTTTTGTGAAGAGCTTCTTCAACATCTACTAAGCTCTAAAGTGTATCTGAGATTATTTCAGTTGGTTCTAACAGAGTTTCTGTGAGGAAGAACTTCTTAGGTTTAACTCTTAACTCCAATACTTTTTATTTATATAACCTTTAGGGAGTTATTTAATCTTCCTGTGTTCTAGCTCCCTCAACTGGAAAATGAAAAAATGGTAGCAATACCTACCTCATTATATATAAAATAGCTTTGTGTAGTATAAGACACGTATTAATTGCTCAATGTTAGCCATTTTTTTATTTTAAACGATGATATTATCTAAAATCATGATAAATTCATGTTCTCCTTTACCAATTTTTGGCTTTTATTGTTTTATTTCTATTTTATTTTACCATATTGGTTTCACCTTATAAATTTCAAAATTTAAAGAAAATAGAATACTCTTCACTATATTGACTACTAGTATGAAATATAAAAATTATATCCTCTGTCCCCCTTTCAAAGATTTTTTTTGGAAATATGTTGATGTTTATAAAATAATTTTAATCTTCATATAGCTGTATTTCTATCATAAAACTTATCACTTGTAGTGAACTGTATGTCATATTTTCATACATTATACTTTTCAATTTTCTTACTTTTCTTTTAAGATATCTATCTGTATATAAGCTAACGAATGAGTCTGACGTTAAAGTTTTTGTCATTCAGTTTTATTACAAGATTGACACTGCTTTCATAACTTACCCAGGAAAGTTATCTGAGGGAGCTTTTCACAGTTTCTGTTCTGAAACCAAGCACGCTCTTTACAACTTACAATGACTGCCCACGTTCAGTACACGTAAAGGTATCATGCCATGGAAGGTCGCTGCCTAAGCATGGTTTCTGGTAAGAATGTCACTTGTGCACATTAAGATGGAAACTTGCAGAAAGGAAAAGACCTGGCAATCTTACCTCACTGAGTTCGTGCTGCCTTTGCATTTTCTTTTCGAAAGTAGATTTCATTTGTGTAAGTAATTCATACTAAAAGAGAGAATAAAAAGGATGTTTTATCCCATTTTAAATTGTATATATTTCTTTAAAATGATTACTAACTCACCTTATCTAAAACGGTTTGCCTTTTAGCTTCTAAGCTGGGCTCCAAAAGGAGATTTTTTCCTGTAAGATAAATCTTTGGTTTATTTCTAAGCAAAGGTCATAATTTTCTCAAGAAATGTGAAATGAAGTAAAGGAAAACATACTTGCCAGTTCCTCAATACTCCTTACTAAGTCGTTTTTGTCAGTAATAATCTGTTTTAGTTGAGGCAAAGTCACAAACTGTTCTAGCAATATCTCCTCTTGTTCATTCATATCTGTGAGTTGTGACACACTAAAAACACAAAAGAAAAAATAGGCGGTTAATGAACATCAGTCATCTAGTTTTTCTCCATGATAAATATTTCTAATTTTTCAGTTTTATTTGGTTGGTAGTATTCTAAATATATAGATATATACACATAAGCAGGCCAACTGTAACCTCAAAAGTACATAAAACATCAACCACAGGGGCCAGCAGTTGGCGTAATATCTATGTCACTGGACTCCCACATAGTCGACGGAGGTTCAAGTCCCAGACCCTGTGGTTTAAACTCACGCCAGGTGTGTGTGTGTGTGTGTGTGTGTGTGTGTGTGTGTGCATGCCCAGGATCCCGAGAGGAGAATGGAAAAGAAGAGATGGCAGCATGGCCATCCCCCTGGGGGGTGATTTCTTGCTTTTTGTCTTTCTGTCTGTCTCTTTCTGGCGAACACACACTCTCTATAGCAAAAACCTCTCCAAAAATTAAAATCAACCACAATGAAGCATGAAGTAGACTATAATAAATTTTCGACAGAATCCGTAGCACTGAATTTTGATCCAGTGGACATACCCATATGTACTTTCTTTCTTTTTTAATAACAGAGGAAGGGAGGCACCTTTTATAGGGTCTCATCATGCCACAGTCTTTCCCCAGCCCTGCAGCCCCTCAGAATCCTGGGACCCCCTGTGCACACCTGTTTTCTTTCAAGCCAACTCAGGGACCTGAACTCATGGTCAGCCATGTGACTTCCAGCACTGCAGGGCACTTGCAGTAACCACTGCACCGTAGTGGCTGGGCCATATATCTACATTCTTTAAAGTCACAACTGGGGACAAGTGTTCACAATTACACAGTGACCTGAAATTAACAGGAAGTTTCGCTTAACTCAGAAAAAGACCAAAAGGATGAACCTAGGTCTCTCCCTTATTCAGCTGAGACACTTCAAAGTAGAGCATTAATATATTTTTTCTTGTTCTGTTTATGTTTAATTTAACTACATTAGGATATCACCTATTTCTTCAATTTCTCTGATAGGAACCAGTCTTACTGATATTCAGACTTGAAGCTATTTATTTCTTCTAAGCATAATATTGAATATATTAGTAATATACTACATTCAAATGAGTAAAAAGCCACAGACAAGTCTGCAATAGAAGACCTTTCCTGGGGCAATATGTGGCATGGAGGTAAAAGAAGCTGGATCCCATACAGCCAATTGCACAATTCAAGTCCCCAAGCCAGTGGCTTGAAAAACACACCTGGAGTAGTTGTATGCATGCCTAAAACCCCAAGTAGAATGGAGAAGAGGTTGTAGTGTGGCCATGCCCTCTGAGGAGTGATTTCTTAGTTCTCTCTGTCGCTCTCTGTCTCTGATAAGGGCAAGCACCCTAGAGCAAACAAAAAGACTCTCTTCTTATTCTTTTGTTTGCCTTTTTATATTTTATTTTTTTCAATTAGAGGGCATGTGTGCCTGCTGGAGCAAGACTAGAGTGAGAATGGGAGGAGGGAGAAAACACCCACCATGGGGGATGGCCATGCCACAGTCCCTTCTCCATTTCTCATTTCAGGATTTTGGGTATACACACACACACACACACACACACACATACACACACACACACAGAGTTTTTCATGACACTAAGTCATGGACTCTGTGCAGTCAGCCATGTGGGATACAGCTACTTTGACCACAAAGGAATCAGATGCCCCCCCCAATTCCTTTCGTTGCACATATTGATGGGAGGTAAATAAAAATAAAAGAAACCAAAGTAGTAACTGTAATAGTTTGGTTTGTGAAAAACTTTCATGGGAGATTGTCTTATTTAGTTAGTTTTAGACCAGTTCAGTACCCAATTCCAAGCATATGTTGGCCAAACCACAGCCAATAAAATCTCCCAGAGCTCTGCAAGGTAAACAGTCCCTGCTGTTGTACAATGTCAAATTACTATGGGAGTACCAAGACTGGATGACAAGGGCAGCCATAACAACCATCAAATTTTAACCTCTCTGCCTGTTTAGCCAAGAGATATGTGGCCGTCACAGTAAAATACGTATTGGGGCTAGATGGTGGTTGGCAGTAAAATACAACAATCTATGATGATAAACCACATGGGAGGATTCCACATTCGCATCCAAGACATCCCTGAGTACTCTGGGCACATGTGTCTCTGTGATCTGGTGTTGACTGTGGATGGATCACGACCTCAGGTCTCTGCTGGAGGTGCTATCTCTACATCTCTCTCGCTGATGGAAAAAAACTTTAATAAAAGATATGGATATGGGTAGTATGTATGCGTATGTATGTGTAGGTACATCTATTAATAAAATATTTAGAGAAAATAAACAATGAAAGGCTAAACCAAAAACAAAAATAAGCACTGATAGGATGAAAGAGAGAACTGTGTAGAGAGGCTATAGATGGAAACTAAACCGCTATGAATGAATCTTTTGACTTGGAGCATTATAACAATATTACGATGGCTGTGAACCCAAAACTCCCACCATGGATATCACACTGTCATCCACAGTCAAAAAGGGAAACTGGATAATTCACATCAAAGGGAAGCACACATACACACCGCTGCAGAAACCTACTCCAAAAAATAGCAACAAGTGAATTCATCACAGATGCCTAAAAATCACAGCAGAGCCTCAAGAAACATGAGAAAATCAGAAAATACTTCCTCCTCCAAAGAACACAATAATTCCTCACCAACAATGGTATAAACATGAGAAATCACAGAAATCTTAGAACAGAATTTACAATATTCATTATAATTAAACTCAGTGTGATGCAAAGGAAAACAGACAACCAATTACAGGAGTTGAGAAAATATTTCCATGACTTGAAGGAAGAACTCCATAAAGTGATAGATACCCTGAAAAATAATCAAACAGAACTTCTGGAGATAAATAATACAATGCAGGAAATTAAAATCTTCCTCGAAAGTATCAACAGCAGATTAGACCATGCAGAACAAAGAATCTCTGACTTTGAAGACAAAACTTCTGACATAGCCAAAGCACCAAGAAGAATTTAAAAATAACCACTAAAAATAAGGACAAACAGGAAATCCTAGAAACCACTAAATGGCCAAATATTCACATAATGGGTATTCCAGAAGGTGAAGGGACAGTCAGAGGCTTAGACAATCTCTTTCATAACACATTAGTTGACAATTTTCCACTTAGAAAGGTATACAGAAATCTAAATCCAGGAAATACAAAGAACACCAAGTAGACTTAACATAGGATGATCCTCTCGAAAGCAATTATAGCCAAACAGGTAAAAATTAGACAAAGACAATATTCTAAAAATAATAAGAGAAAAACATTAAGTTACTTACAAAGTAATGCCCCTTTAGACTAATGTTGGACCTGTAAACTGAAATAATGTAGGTAAAAAAGACATTTAAAACTCCCAAAGAAACACAACTTCATCTAAGAATACTATACCCAGCAAGATTATCCTTCAAACAAAAAGGAGAAAGAAAATCATTCCCAAATAAATAAAAGTTGAAAGAATTCACCAAAAGGAAGCCAGCCCTTCAGGAAATATTTAAGGGAATACTACACCTGGAAAATGAATAGGAGATAAATAGAAGCAAAAGAACATAAAACTAGGGGAGGAAAAAGGAGTTAACTAAACGACAGGGCTAAATCCACATATATTAATAATAACCTTGAATGTTAATGGATTAAATTTCCTAATAAAAGATACAGGTTGGCTCAATTAAAAACAAAAACAAATAAACAAATAAAAAAACAGGAACCTTCTATTTGCTTATAAGACACACCTCAATGACAAAGAAATACACCTACTGGGACCAGCAGTTAGCGTAATGGCTATGTTGCTGGACTCCCATGTAGTCGACCACGGTTCAAGTCCTGGACCCGTTGGCTTAAAACCCACGCCGGGCGCGTGTGCATGTGTGCCCAAGATCCCTAGAGGAGAATGGAGGAGAAGGGATCGTGGTGTGGCCATCCTCCCTGGGGGGTGATTTCTCGCTTTCTGTCTGTCTGTCTGTCTGGCAAGCACACATGCTCTACAGCAAAAAAACAAAACAAAACAAAACAAAACTCTCCAAAAAAAAAGAAAAAAGAAGAAAAGAAATACACCTACTGAAAGTGAAGGGCTGGAAAAAAGTCATTTTATGCACACAGAAATGAAAAAAAAGGGCAGGATATTGAGATCAGACAAAATAGACTTTAGGATAAAAAAGGTAAGAAGAGACAAAAGAGGGCCCTACATAGTTCTAAAAGGATTAATTTGCCAAGAACATACAATAATCATAAATATTTATGCACCCAATGCCAGGGCACCCAAATAGGTAAGAGAGAAACTGCTAGATCTAAAGGGAGATATAGACTGCAACATACTAATTGTTGGGGATTTCAACACCCCACTGTTACCACTGGACAGATCATCTAGACAAAAATAAACCGAGACACAGGAACTAACTGATACCATAAACCAAATGGACCGGACAGAAATATGTAGAGCATTCCACCCAGCAACTCTAAAATACACTTTTTCCATCTTCACATGGAGCATTTTCAAAGATTAACCATATCATGGAGCACGAAACAGGCCTCTACACATTTAAAAGTATAGAAAATATGCCCAGCATATTCTCTAACCACAGTGGAATTAAACTAGAAATCGGCCAGAGAGAGTCTTGAAAAATACACCAAAAAATGGAAACTAGGGAACCAGCAGTTAGCATAATGGCTAGGTTGCTGGACTCCCACGTAGTTGACCGCAGTTTGCGTCCCGGACCCGGTGGCTTAAAACCCACGCCGGGTGTGTGTGCGTGCGTGCCCAAGATCCCAAGAGGAGAATGGAGGAGAAGGGGTTGTGGCGTGACCATCCCCCCTGGGGGGTGATTTCTCACTTTCTGTCTCTATGTCTCTCTCTCTCTGTCTGTCTGGCGAGCACACGCGCCCTATAGCAAAAACCTCTCCAAAAAAAAGGAAACTAACCTATTCCTCAATGACTTTCAAACTACTGAAGAAATTAAGACTGAAATCAAAAGATTCATTGAAACCAATGATAATGAACACATCACTTTTCATAACCTTTGGGGCACAGCAAAAGCAGTCTTTAGAGGAAAGTTCATAGCCATTAGTATTCACAAGAAAAAAAACAGAAAGGAGGAAAAAAAATAATGTGACATCACATCTCAAGGAAATGGAAAAGCAACAACAACAAAAAAATCTCAAAAATATAAAAGAAAAAAAATGTATACAATGAGGTTTTTTAAAAAGCCCACAGAAAATGTATAATATAAAAAAAAAACTGCATAGATTTCAAAATTTTTTGCAGGTAAACTTACACTTCAATTATATTTTCCATGAATTTTTGAAGTACCTTTGTATAAATTTAAAATAATTAAATAAAAAGAAAAAAGCAGTTTCTAATATTCAAATGAAACTGTTGGCTTTACAAGCAATGGCAATAAATGAACCTATTTTATCAAATTAAATTAATTATCCACAGAAGCACTACTTGAAAAGACATTTAAAATAGTACTTAAAGGGCCAGCAGGTGGTGTGGTAGTTAGGGCCCTGAACTCTCACACGGCCAACCACAGTTTGAGTCCCAGACCTAATGGCTTGAAAATTATACCAGTCGTGTGTGTGCATACCCAAACTTTTTTTTCTAACTTGGGATTTCTCAAGGTAATTTGACCATACATCCTAATGACAAAAAGAACTGCAAAAATATGTTTAACTGAATTTAGTTGTAGTAGTAATAGTCCTAAGATACTTTAAACTTTCAATAGGGGTATAAAGGTTGCAATACTTCCCAAAATTAAATGGCCAAAACCAAGATTTTTTTCCATGAACCGTTTCAGAAGAGTGAATGCATGAAAAGAATAAAAGCACAAAGAGTAAAGCAAGAGTAAAAGCATGGAAAATGGAATTTTAAACTTGAATATTACAAACTTAACTGCCATAAATGTGAATAAAATTGAAGTGCTTCTGCAGAAACACTTCACTATAATAACTATTTCTCTACATACAAGGTTATCTACTTCAAGAAACAATAAAAGATCTAAAATGAGCAAAGATAAATTTTGAAATCATTAGACATAATGTATTCAGAAATATTTTTAAAGAAAGCAAGACACATGAGACAAAGGACTTAGCTATCATGGTAACTATTAGATCATTTCTAGCACCTAGAAAATTCTTTGGGCATATATCAGTCACTCAAAATATACAACCTATATGGCCTAAAACTGATTCACTGGATCATTAGGAAACTCATGATGCACTTTTGCATAGAAAAACATCAAAACATATGTCATGACTCTCCCAACGAACTAATATAAAACCTCCTTATTAAGACAACCACAATATAAGAATAATGAAGATTTTTAAAACCTTTTTATTTATATGAATATGAATTGATTACCTAGTTTATAAATAAAATAGACAATAATACCAACTTTATTCTCCATGTTTTATTACCTTAGTTCCGAAAGCTCTGGAAATGCATCGGGGACATCTGGCATCTTGTAACCAAAACCATTTTGGCTTATCTAAAGAAGAGTTTTAAATGGGATTAAATTTCAGCCATCTGTTTAACTGCTCCCATTTACTTATTAAATTTTAATGTACATCCCATAACCGCTTTCAAATTCACATCTTTATCTTCATACTTCAAAATGTCTATCCTCTCTTCGTGCTATTTTTTTAGTTTAACTTTGTGCATATATACATGTGTGTATGTGTATACATATTTATATACACATTATATATAGTTATATATATTTTTGTGTGTGAGGGCTATGTGATAGCTTTCCAGTGTTACCTTTCTCTTGGACAAGCAAATGTCCAGAAAATAAATCTCTTAAATGTATCTGTGACAGATGTGTAGTCTGTGGATTTCACTAATGTATATGAGTATTTTTCTCTCATGTGGAAGGCATTGAATTAGAAAAACTTAATTTGCTAATAGTCTAAATAGTACCTAATTATACGAGGTGAGAAACAAAATATCCATGAGTTAAATACATGTACATTTTTATACTGGAGGACCTTTGACAAGTTCTCTTGTAATTTTGTTTATACTACAATGATGAAAGGTTTTTAATACACAAAGTCTACTTGGATCTATATGCTAAATGATTACTAACTCTGAAATTAGTACTGTTGGATATAATAAAATTTCACAGTATTTGAGTACTATGATGGTAATATTCACTAAGGGTTAAAATCAAAGGTCTTCAAATCCCTTTAAATGTTTTATACACAAACTATTAGTAGGGTCTCTTAGAAACACCCACATGGCAACGGTAACTACTTTAAGAACACACAATTTTCTGAACCAATGGCGTAGCTGAAGCCCTTCAGTGCTACAGCAGACCCTCCCCAGTCTGACAGCCGCTTCTCTTCCTGCCCACTTGTTGTGTCTTTGCCTGCACCCAGCAAGACAGCCAGAGAGATCTACTGTAGTCTCTCTTCTACTTGATTACAAGTTGCTGTCACAATTACTTGATTATTTGTTGGTTACCTCTCTGAGTCTACTACTTGATTTGAAAAGAGTGATTTAACTTAGTGGCTGGCACGAAAAGGAATCTAAGTGTCTGTTGATTGAATAAATGTTTTAAGGGTATAAAATACAGAAGACTGAAGACACCAACCGGTGCTGAAGTGTCCGTTGTGGGAACGGGTAATGGCAGATTTGCAAGGACACCAAATGAAGGAGCTGCGGGCTTGGCTGTGGCGTAACTTGTTGTTGAAGAAGAAACAGTGTCAGCAACAGATAAAGAAGTGATATTCCTATTTGCTTCTTGTGGGGGAAATGTTGGAAGAAATGGAAAACCCTGAGAAGCATAAGGAGGCATCCCACCTGGGTTACTGTACAGGCTGAAGAGAAAAAAGAAGAAAGTCATTAGATTAGGTTTTATGGGTAAAATAGGCAAAATGACAACCAAATTGTTCTCAATAACAATGGTCATGGCATTACAGACGGAATTTGCTTATGGTAGGTGATAACTTGCTGTAATTATTAGCTGAATTTAATGCTGTATAAATTGACAAAATACGAGTCATCTCAAAAGAGAATTGTGGTTTCTATGAAAAAAGTGAGTTATTTAGAAAGCATACAATTCAGGCCATGAGATGGCATGGTGGTTAAGGCGCTAGATTCCCACATGGCTGACTGCAATTCAAGTTCCAGACCCAGCAGCTTGAAAATCATGCCAGATGTGTGTACTCAAAAAAAAGCATACGATTCAACTGGTCAGAGAAGAAGTGAATAGACAGGGCATTTTCAAGTTTTCAGCATTCCTTTGGCATCAATCAACATGATCATAGAGGAACTGCAGAACAAGATTTAGTACAGAAAATGTATTAAAGTGGGTGGTGCTTGCAGTTTTGTTTGTTTTTGTAGCTTTGCTACAGGGCGCATGCACTTGCTAGAGAAAAAGAGATAGACCAGTCACCCACCAGGAGAGATGGCCATGCTGCAATTCCTTCTCCTCCATTCTCCCCTCAGGATTTTGGGATTTGGGGCATGCATGCAGAGGCGCCTGGCCTGTTTTTCAAGCTCCTGGGTCTGGAATTCGAACTGTATAGTCAGCCAAGTGGGATCTAGACGCCTTAACCTATGACCACCTACTGGCCATGCTTGTAGCTTTTACTGTGCTTCACAAAATCTCACTGAAAGTCGAAACCACTTTTTCAGGAAATTTGAAAGAAGAATTAAATGTACACATGAGCTGCCCAAAATGTTAAAATGTGAGAATCGGACGCATATATAAAAACGCATTACGTATTAGGAAAAGTGGCACAGCATTATATAGTTGGAATTTAATTTTTTAAAATGTACTATTTACTTTTTGCAAATACATATTTTATACTTAACATTTTTTCCCTTCAGAAAAGTTCAGAGTGAACCAGATTATAAAAGAACTAAGGTAATTCAGACCTAAAGGCAAAATGAGAATCCTCTAAACACCAATATTTTAATGAATACAGTAAGTTTGATATCACACTCACGTAAAGGATAAGGGACCTATGGTTGGGTTTTAAATATAACACTAACTACTGGAATGTTTTGCTTTGTGTTGAAACATGTTCCAAAATTTATAGATCTTAAAATAATTACTTATGAAAATACTATTATTTTATTTAATGATATAAATTAGTGTGAGTTCGAAATTCTGTTGGACAAAAACATCTGTCACAGACTATGAAATGTACACTAATGATACTAAAGTGCTCATGGGAAAAAAAGCAAGGATAGAAGGGAAAAGTCTGGAAAAGGAAAGGAAAGATACATTAGCCCTGACATACAGTAAAACAAATTTTAAAGCCTTATTAATTAAAAAACAAATTTTAAGTATAGCACTGGTGAGTGACTAGGTATACCAAAGAAACTAAATATAAAATCTAGAAAAAGCCCAAAGACACATGGGAATTAGGGTATAACAGAGCAGTCAACAAATAGCATCGGGTCATTTGGGAAAAATAATGAATAACTGGAGCCAGGTTCTCTTATTTACAGTAGAGCAAAAACTTAATGTGTCAAGGATATAACTCTTTTTGTTGTTTGTTTTTTAATGCTTAAAAGAACTAGAAGTTACTTGCAAATTATAAGCTTGGAGTAGAAAAGGATTTTCTGTGATACCGAATTCAAAAGTCATAATAGAAAATAATTATAAATTCCACAACATTAAAAAAAAATTCTATATAACAAAGCCCTTTAAAGGATAAATAACAAATCTGGGGTCTGCAGCAGTATGGTGATTAAGGCAACTGGATCCCACATGGCCAACCAGTGGTCGGAGTCCCAGACCCAGAGGTTCAAAAGATAATGCTGGGTATGTGTGGTGTGTGCCCAAAATTCTGAAAGGAGGGAGGAATGGAGAAGGGGACTGCCACATGGTGTACATATGTGTGTACATGTGTGTACATACGTGTGCATATGGTGTGTGTGTGTGTACATATGTGTGCCCCATAGAGGGTGCTTTCTCACTTTCCCTTGTTTTCTGTCTCTAGGGGGTGCACATGCCCTCTGGCAAATGATAGAAAATAAGAAGAATAATCAATTTGGAGAGAAAAATTTGAAACTTATATCATAGAAAGTGATAACTGCTCTAACATAAAGAATCTCTATCAATTAATAAAAGACTAAACACAATAGAGAAATGGAGATAGAATAATACACATGGGTTACAGAAAAAGAAGAAAAACATCTGTAATGCATTAAAAAATACTCAACTTTTCTAAGATAAATACAACTAAAACTATACAAATATATCACCTTCTGCTTACAAACTGGCAAAAATAATATACAATTGTTGGCAAAAGGTATGAGGATGTAGGGACTGTGTATGAGAGTAGAAACTGGTACAAACAATCTCAGAGTAATTCTTCAGTATTTGTCAAAATTACAAATGTGCCATACTGTGTCTAGAATTTATCCAACACATACATTCTCATTTGGTGAAATATTATTTTTAAGGTTATTTTCTGCAACACTTAGGGCAAAGGAGAAGGGAGGCCTTTGAGGAAAAATTGGAAAAAATATGAATATATATCAACAGGAGTCTTGATAAATAAATTATAGTGTATCCATAAAATATACTGTGAATCCATAAACAGTAACTGGACTGGTGGAAAACACTGGGGAAACTCTTAGAGAAATCAGAGTTGGTAAAGACTTCTTAAGTAAGACCACTCAAAGCACTGGGAATAATCCCCAAAATAGACAAGAAGGATTACATCAGGTGAAAAAGCTTCTGCACAGCAAAAGAAACAATCATTAGAGTAAGGAGATAAACCTTGGAACGGCAGAAAATATTTGGAAACTCTGTCCTGGATATAGAACTGATAACCAAAATGTACAAGGAACTCGAGTAGCTTACAAGCGTGCACACACACACACACACACACACACACACACAGCTGCTCTGATTAAAAGATGGACAAAGGCGTTGAACAGACACCTCTCCAAGGAAGATATATGAACAGCCAAAAAGTATATGAAAAAATGCTCAACATCCCTTATTGCAGTGAGATGAAAATCAACCACAATGATATACCAATGAACCCAAATCGGAATGGCTAAAATTGAAAAAATAAAGAATGCTAAGTGTTGCTGAAGGCGCAGGAAAAGGAAACTCTCCTACACTGCTGGTGGAAATGTAAATTAGTACAGCCACTGTGGAGAACAATATGGAACTTCCTCAAAGATCTACCCACCTACTATACAATCCAGCAATTCCACCCGGGTATCTAACCAAAAGATAGGGGTCTAAAAAACAATCTCATTTCCGTGTTCATTGCAGCATTATTCACAATTGTTAAGACTTCGAGTCAACACAAATGTCCAAGAATAGGTGAATGCATTAAAAAATTGTGGCACAGAGCCAGCAGATGGCGGAATGGCTACATCGCTGGACTCCCACATAGTTGACCACAGTTTGAGTCCCAAATCTGCCAACTTAAACTCACACCAGGTGCTCGTGCATGCATGCCCAGGATCCCAAGGGGATACTGAAGGAGAAGGGATTGCAGTGTGGCCATTGTCCTGGAAAGTGATTTCTTGCTTTCTGTCTCTCTGTCTCTGCCTCTCTGTCTCTCCAGCTAGCACGTGTGCCCTGTAGCAAAAATCTAACCAAAAGAGGAAAAAAAGAAAAAACGTGTGGTACATATACACTATGAACTACTACTGGATTCCCACATGGCCACTGCAATTCAAGTCCCAGAACTGGTGGCTTGCTTCCTCACTTTTCCTCTCTGTCTCTCTAGTGCACACATGTGCCCTAAAGCATATTAAAATAATAACAAAAATAACATAAATAGTAAAAATATATATAAAAACATGAAAAACTGGATACTCCTAAGAGCTCCAATATCAGATTTAACAGAATTCTCTAAAGAAAGAAGAAAAAACAAGGTGGGATAGAGATCACAATAAAAAATTACCTTACTAGAAATGAGAACATGAATCTCTAAATTAAAAGGGGCAAAAAAGGGGACAGCAGATGGTGTAGCAGAACATCAATGAACTCCTACACGGTCAACCATGGTTCAAGTCCCGGACCTGGTGGCTTGAAACTCATGCTGGGCACATGTGCAAGCATGCCCAAGATCCCGAGAGAAGAACGGAGGAGAAGGAATTGCAGCAAGGCCATCCCTCAGGGGGTGATTTCTCACTTTCCCTCTCACTGTCTCTGTCTCTGGCAAGCCTATGTACTTTAAAACACAAATCTCTTAAAGGGAGGAGGGGCATAAAATATCTAGCATTTTGAAAAAGACCAACAAGTTACATCAACATGAAGTTTCAGAAAACCAAAGGAAAAAAATAAAGTTAAAAAAGATCAGAAAAATAATAGTATTGCATATCTTATTAACCATGGAAGCCTACATACAGAAAATAAAACAATGCGTTCAAAATTTTGAATTCAAACTAAAATTTTTTAAACTATTATTTATACATTCAATCGCTATACATCATTTAGATTGTAAAGGGCATGATATACAACTCAGCCTTGATATACAACCCAGCATTGATATACAGCTCAGCCTTGCCCAGTTGAGAATACTTCACATGTCATCAACAGTTGATAAACCATATCTGTGTTCCACAAACGTCTTACCTATTTTTCTCCCCAAATTTCCTTTCCTACACTCTTCCCCCTTCCCAGTCCTCCACTTTGTCCCTAGTATCCGTAACAATTTTCAATGCTTTTATGTCCTCCAGTCTTTCAGTCTCTACCATAGAGTCAGTTGGTATACGTTAAGTGGAGACATACAATATCTGTTTCCTAGCCTGACATGCTTCACTCAGTAATCTTCCATATTCATCCACTTTCTATCAAATGTCAGAGACTTGTTTTTTATGGCTGGATAGTAGT